GAATCCCGGACCAATATCCGCTTGAGCCAACCAAGTCTTCCAACGGGGTCGGTTAATTGATACCAGACCGTGTCTGTGAGGATAAATGCACTGGCTTAAACATCGGCTGGACACCGCAAGTCTAAGTATAGGCCACATACGCACTCAATACGCCCCCACTATTCATGGAAGTCGAATACGGGGAGCATCCCCCAAGCGGGATTTATTAACGCCAAAAACTTTATTCTTTTTTGACTTATATCGCAAAATCAACCTGCTGGTACCTACATTAAGTCAAACGTCTCTGATGCTCTTGTTGGTCACTCACGCCTATGCCATGGTCAACAAAGAAAGCGATTGGAGGCGTTAACCACCTGCGCCATAAACCGTTCCCTTGACAAGCAAAGGACCCTCACCAGAACGCACTAAGATGTAATGATATGGGAGACCCACCCAAATAGCACGGATCACTTCATTAATTCCTACTCCTAGTTTAATCTAGCCTTTTCTTCCAGGACGTTTAGATACTAGAAAAGGAAACACCACCAGGTTTCCCAAGCAGAACTTGGTTCAGTGGAGAAAGGTTATTCCACCATGAAGCACCTCGACTGTTCCTATCATGAAGCCAACCGGAGTCAGCCGAATCAAAATGTTGAGAAAGTAGGGAGCATGTTGTATCTTGCTATTCTGGGAAAATTTCATGACGGAAAAAAAGGTAGTTTCAACACAGAGAGACCCAAAAAATCACGCCTTTACGCTTATTACCTTCGAGAAGCGGACCATTTAAGTTGAGGGTATCTCATTCAACAACAGTACTCGCCATCTTAGAGTACGGTACTTTGGGGTGAAACGATTATTTGAATAAAAATATTTAACTCAAGAATTCTGATTACTAACCGCTTCACATTCAGGATTGCGAATGTCCAGGAACTCTTCCGTTGACCCGTCGAGAAGATGTCGAGTAGTCAACACGCCATACTGCAATAATTAGCTTACTTGCCAATAGAAAACTATTACAACTGACACCTGCACCACTTACTTTTTCTGTGCACTTAGCTTGGCATTGTGCCAAACGGAAATAATGTGCATAGTCGATCTGAATATATGGCAATACGATGAACCCCAAAGTAGCAGCTGGCAGTAGAAGTAGTAATGCGTAAGGACGCAACATGGCTCCCTGAAATAGCTGACCATAGTCGAACATGGCATCGGAACTCTGGGAGACTTCAGTATGCGATTGTTACAGCCATAGAACGGAAGAATGAACTAGTCGATAGAAGCTCTAGTGCACTTAGGGGCAGGGACGAGGGTCTGAGGTTGCGTGCCAAGTACTGGGGCATTCAATTCGAACACGCTAGATTCCTTTGAAAAACAGGTATTCAAGGAAAAGTTCCGGACGTATTGAATAATTCCGTAGAAAGGGATACATGCACTCCCACCCACCTAGTCGCTCTGGCTTCCCCACAGCATAGGCACCTCAACGAAAATGTCTGTTGAAAAGGCTCACGAAATGTCATTCAGAACTAATACTTGATTATTTGGAAGGTACTGATCGGAATGGAAAATCATTTTAAATATGAGAATCGATATTGCCACTTTCCCCTTAACTGGTATGGCTCGGAGTTGAAAACAAATCATGACATTCAGGTAGGAACCAGAAGGAAGGTAGAAAGATCATTATCTTTTTTCAGGGGTCAATGTGCACGGTAAGGGCAGTGTGAAGAAAGGCCGATGGGAAGAGATGTGAGGAGTAGGAGGAACTGCGGAAAAGTGCTTTCTGAATCACCCGTGACTCTGTTTCTGCTGCAACTTGCAATTGATTTAATAGAAACAGCTGAAATTACAACGTAAGAACGGCATTTTGTGAAGGACATCCCAGTTTTCTTCAAAACTGAGAGCATTACTTTGAAAAAACCGCCGGCAGTTTTTTTCTTTTCGACGCTGCACTTGAATAAAGCTAAGATTTCGTCAAATTCTACCTTTTTGTTTGAAAAAAAATTAAAATGGTTTGGATAATGGAATTGGTTTGGATAATGGAATTGGTTTAACCTCCTGTCATCAAATTTCATGAGCCACAGATGTGGCTTTACGACCATATTGAAAACTAAAACATCAAAGTCTTTCATCATCAACTCAGTCATCTGAGTGATGCGGGGGGAGTGGTGCAGTAGGATCGAAGTTGTCGCGTTGCTGCAAAGGAAATCGCGTGCGAAGAAATGTAGCAGAACGCAGCAGCAAGTAAGAAATGCAGGAACAAAAGAACTAATATTAAAATCATGCCAAAAATAATGATTGCTATCGATTGAGCTGTATGAAGAACGACGGATCTGCAGTAATGAGACAACTAGTTCGCGACTGTCGCGCGCGGCGAATCGATCACACAAAACTGATTTTACTGCCCGTCTCCCGAGGGATGCGCCTACTCATTCAACTTCCATTCAGAGTCGTAGTGATGTATTCAATGCATAGTGGCTTATGCAATGACTTGCAGCTTACCGCGGCCAGTCGAGGTACAGGTGTGCGCTTTTACCTTCCCAAAGGAAACCTGGTACCAACTAATCGACACCGGTGAATGGGAAGTTTAGCTCGCCCTGGCTAGCACAAACTCGTGCTCGGATCCTCGTGCTATGCTTTGATTAGTTTCTCTAAAATCAGCTCATTCTCTCGAACTCTTCCACCTGATCAGGTACGCCTAGCCATACCTCACCCTACCTGGCACGAACAGATGGGGCCATGCATAATAAAAAAAGGCATAGTGCAGAGCTAGACTACTTGGTATATGGCAACAGCGACCAATCGAGATTACGAATATGTGGCTCCTTGGAGGGGTATCCTATTTTGGCCTTACTCTCTACAGGAACTTCTCGAATTCCAACGACTACGGCCTACTCTGTAATCAGCAAAGTTGTTAATGAGCAATTTGAAACACCCAATCTTGAGCTTTCGATTCATTCAACGTTTCAAAAGACGAACTTGGTCGATTAATTGAAATGACTGGCAATTAGGAAGACAAACAACAGGAAAATAGGAGGAGAATGGGGAGAAGTGAGAAAGGAAAGAGAAATTTGTGGTCTGCTGACGGGTAAACCGTTCTGAAGAGGTGTCATTAGTCAGTATACGCCTCTTTACCCTCACTCTTCCGGAGGTGGGATTGTCCTCAAGCAAATAACTCCAATAGCACGTACATAGGTCAACAATACACGCAGAATGTCAACAAATTCTCTTGTGGACCATGTCATGCCAAGGGCCGACATCGTAGAGGTGTCATCGGAAGTGCCAAGTCAATAGAAGGCAACCATGAAGAAACACAGCAGGTATTCAGCGGTAACATTCCAAGTGTTTCTCCACAGAGAGAACAGGAACGACACAATGCCCTAGCCCAAATGGGAACTGAGCGGAACACAAGCCAAAGACATTGGGGATTGACAGCGGAATCAGATCAAGTGCATAGTTAAGTGGCCTGTAGAGGCGGTTTCGTCAAAGAAATTCACCCGCTGATTGCTCTTACAGGTATAACCTAAGGTAGGAAGTACAGTGAATTGACTGGGGAATCTTGGTGAGCAACAAAATGGCCTTGAGTCCTAATGGGACCTTTATCTATTAGGTAACAAATCACTTGGAGGTTTTTCGTACTGTGGGACAAAGAGATGGTTAATGGTGGGAAAGGATTCCCTTGTAGAAAGCCGCATATCTATGACTTTTTCAAAGAAATGCCTCTTTCTCAGGTGAGTTCGTGCTAAGTGCTAAGTTTCAATACCTGAGGAACTTACCGTGCTGTTCTTATTTTCCGACACCAACCCAGTACCAATCAGCTGATGAAGATGGATTGGAGTTCTCACGAATCCAGAGAATGGAGCAACGGTCAAGTACATGAGGCAGTTGTTCCATCAGTTACGAGCAATTTAGATGCACCCGTGAGAATTCAAAGGATATCTAATCGGGCGGTAACAGTCACAGCTGGTAGGAAGTGATAGAACCAAGGTTTTAGAGGTGAAACGAGTTGAGAATGTTGTTG